TCCATAGAACAGTAAGGTCCTCCTTATTCAGCTATATAATCATGAACTGCAAACACAGAGCAAAAAGATGCAAACAGCTGTGTTCCCTACAAAAATGATGTTTTCAAAGAGCAGGTAATAGGATTCTCTGAAGAAGGGTGGAGTCTTGATAAGAAAAAGTGCTGTCAAGATGTGAGGGTTTTTGAAAGACAGTTTAAATATTCCTACGCACAAGCTTGTTTTCAGTGCATTGTGTTTGAACTTCTCTTGGGTTTAGTTGCAAGAGTGGTGTCCTAAATTGAACTGATAGTCTCCAGATGTATTTTTTTGGGGGAAACCAAAACCTGCGTGATAATGAATGCTGAACTTGGCAATTGATAACCCACAGTGGCAGATATATCACTAACATATCCCAGCTATGAGGGGGATATAACATGAGATGTTTCAACGTCAGGGTGGTAGGAAGTCTCATTCGTCTTGCCCTGCATAGTGCCTGTGGTGGGTCTCTGGGCAGGAATGTCCATCAGGAACTGCAGTAGATTGACCATGGTACCAATCCAGAGGTTTTCTGAGTTATGAATAAACTTCTTAATCTGGGCAAGTTCCCTTGTGGTCTTTATCCAAGTTAAACATGTTTGGTTTTGCACAGAAGCAAGATTCAGATTAATTTCTGTCTATGCATGTAGTGTTATACTAAAGCCATTGGGGAGAGAGGGAATGAAATACATGTCAGTCCACAAGTTGCAGTTTCCAGTTTGTAGTGAAGCTGCTTAAGTTTCCCCCTTTGTTAAGGGGACATTACAGGAAAGTTTATGAAATGTGGCTGTTCTGCTTGTTGAATGTAGTTTATGTATAAACTGTGTATATAACTGTTTATATAACTCTTAAATAAATATAAGCTATTAATGCAAGCTAAGATGTAGTACACAGAATAAATAGAAAAAAAATAATTGCTCAATAGAAGAGATTATGGTCTTGTGTCCCTGCAAGGCAGTGACTTCATACAGCATGACTTGAATTCAGAGGACTTTGAATCTTAAAGTTTTTACAGTATATTTATGTTTAGTATTAGTATTCACTCCCAGAATTAGGCAACAATGTCTTTTCCTCTTGTTTCAATACTAGATCTCTTTGGAAAACTTGTTTGTGTATCAACATGTTTGCATGACCCCTGCTATCCAAGCATTTAGTAGCTAACTTAATTTTGTAACGTTTAGGCACCTCACAAGTGGTAACTTTATTGTTCTAATAGCACCTCTTAAGACATTAAATTGTCTTTAAAAGAACATAGCACAAAGGAATATTTGGACTAAGCTTGGAACTGAGCAATTGCTTCTTGAATTGGCCACAATATCCATTGTCTCCTGAGAATGAGAAATGAGTTAATATTGAATTTGCTTTCAGTCTATAAGATGATCAAACCCCTGTTTTGCCACTATATATTTTGCCAGATTTGGGTACTGGAAGTCACTGCATATAGTGAAAAGTACGATAATATGAAAGTACGAAAGTACGATAGTATGAAAACTGCCTTGGCAGCTATACAAAACAATCAGCAAGGCAGAACTACTTTGCCAAAGAAAAATGGAGAGAAACTGTCCTGAGCTGAAAGGGAAGAATTTATTATACTTCCATGTCTATAATGATGTCAGCTGAAGCTTTTGCATTTTGACATACTATGTCTTCATTAAAACTATATTAATATCGCATATTATTTGGCTATTTTATCACAAACAAGTGTGGCAATTTGGTTGTTCCTGTGAGATAATCATGAAGATATACTAGTTTTTGTAGCATAAGGTCACTAAAAGTAGCTGCTACCCAACATTCTGGCAATCCTATTCACAGGCCAGAAATTCAATTGGGAATGGGTGTTCCTTAAATTTTTTGTTTTCCTGCCATTTGCTGCCTAGTGAGTGTTGTACTAGCAGGCTAAAAGCTGTCCAAAATTAGATAGTGAAGGTGAAAGATGGGCTTCCTTCAGATTAGTGAAGCTCCTTCTTCAGGGGGTCTCGGCTAATAGTTATTAGCCGAGATCAGTGTGTCTGGCTGCATGGTTTAAATGCCACAGCCCACTTCCCCAGCAGCCTCACTGGGACAATTCTGAGTTTTAAGGTTAACATTACTTGAAGCAGACAAACCAGTTCTCACAATTTCAGCGTCTGAAGTTTCTCCATACGTAATAGACAATACCAGCTGGTTCCTCTCTGCTCAAGAGGTCCATAACCCTCATGTTAACTTTTCTTGTTGCTTTCTCGTTAGATAAAAGCAGATGCATGTACTCAGTGCCTGTGTGACTTATTTCTCTTGAAAAAATTGTGGTTTTCTAATCTAGAAAGATTGTTTGTTGCCAAATATCTGATTTATCAAGCAATTTGTTACTGGATGTTCCCGTTAGAACGAATTTTGAGTCTGTAAGAGGTAGTGTTGCTATTATGGTTGATTAGAAAAAGAAATTTATAGGAAACGTGCAGCATCTTTTGCTTGGGATCACTGAAAGACGAACCAGACTTCACTGAAACTGGGACTTCAGGCTTTCTATTTGATAAAAAGGCACTTCTGCAAAACAAAACAGTATCTGTTTTAAACAGTTTTTCATCTGCAGTGGTGCTCTGGTGTCTTCATTCTTTATACTGTTAATGCCAGCTAAGCTTTATCTTTTTAGATAAAAATTTGCTGTTAAGATTGTAAAGCTTTGTGTTAAACAGTAATCACTGTTTAATTACAGTTTTCTTACCTTTCATTGAGTGTTTTTGCTGCCTCTTGTATATTCCCTTTCTAAGGTACATCCCTGGTTATCAAAGTACGTATCAAGGCTGTATGAGAATATTTTCATTACATGGGTCAAGAGGATCTTGAGGTTACTGCCTTAATGAGTCACTGATTAAAGTTTGAAGTGTTGGTAGCACCCTCTCCTTGCTGTTCCCTTGTCAATATAGCACCCTGGGCAGGAGTTTCACAATCTGTACATAATATCTGAGGCACTAAATAGGGGAAATTCCCAGCTACACAGCCTGCTTTAGGCAGCTGGATAGACTCAAAAATAGAACATTATTACATCTGCAAAAGTAACTGTAGCAATGCTAATAGTATGGATGAGAGAGCTAAAAAGTTACTAAAATATATTATAAAATAGTGAAGCAACAAGTAGTTCATAGGGGAAACCCATTTTTCTTCCTAAGGCATTCTCCATATTCATTGTATTTCTTCAATCTTCCTTTACTTTCTAAGAGGTCTTCTGTGAAATTATATGTTTCACTCTATTTTCAACATTTAGTCAACATCAAAGTTTCCCTTTTTTTAAAATTGAGTATTTTTTGATTGTCCCAACCATCTTTTACTCAATGCAATTGGTTTCTTTTAACCTATTCTTGTAAAAAAGTGAAGCACGCACTTAAGAGAAAAAAAAAACTCTTTAACAAAAACATGGATTTTAGGCTCTAAGCAGGTAGAGAGGTTTGAATAAATATTCAGTGTTTTCCCTTTTCTTTTCTTTTTTTCCCAAAATTAACTTTTCAGATGTGGACATAGAGAAATTTAAATTGTTTGATGTAGCTTTTGATCAAACAACCTGTTAATGGGGAGTTTAGCACACAGGGTTATTATTTTAAGCATGCACAATGATCAAGGAAAATTGCTATTCGTTTGTTGGTTGTAATAATAATTTTGGCATTTAGTTTTGCTCATTTAGTATTATTTCCAACAAAGGCTAAAACCTTTTCATTTAATCACAAGTATAAGTAGACTGCAGGCACTTCTTTAGTCACAGGTAGTTCCTACTGACTTGTTTAATCAAATATTAAAGAATTCTACATGTCTGCGAACATCATGTACCTTTTAATCATGAAATTTCAGGATCTGAAAAGAGCACCTCGTTCCTTGTTAGGTCCAAAAGTTTTTGCTTTCTGTTTTGTTTGTTGATTCGGTAAAGAAATACAACTCGATGCAATATCTGAAAAGCAAATGGCTGAATGAAAGACATGTATAATATCCTCAGCTCTGTCAAAGCCTCTCCTGAAACAAGATCTTCTGGAAAGCATGTCAGAAATAACATGACCGAGTGTTGTCCTCATCTCGGAGCATGGTGGTACCTGGGTGGGAGAGGACAGTTGGATCCGTCAAGTAAGAAACCCTCAGATCTGGCATATCTGGCCTTTTTTCTAAGAGCCAGCTCTACTCCTGAGTTATTACGCAGCGTGGGCAAGGAGCTCAAGGTTCTTCAGACCAGCATTGATCTTGTAGACATCAATTGCAAAACCAGGTTGTTTCAGTGGGGTTTCCTTCTTCTTTATTTTAGTTATACAGGAATGTGGGAACTTCTGTGAGTAATAATTTTTTAACACTTTAGGATTCTAACACCCATACTGTATGCTTATTCTTCCAAACTACTGGTTATAGTGCATTGGGTTATTGTACTGTTGATACTGACCTGCCCTCCTTTTTGTACTGGTAGGAATGACTCTTCAGATGAGGAAGCTAACTACAGTGTGTTAGTCAGAGATTAGATTCTTGTTTGTGCTCGTTTATTCACTAAATGTTGTTAGAAGAATTACTTTGAATTTGTTTAGGAAATGACATCCGCATCTTGCCCAAAGACATTGTAGAGATGGATTTAATTATAATTTTCTGAAGTGAGTTTGAAATATGCTGGTCATTGTCTTTATTAATATCCTGGACAGTGAGAAAGTGTTGGACTCAGCAATTTTAAGGCAGTACAAAATAGAGGAGCATTCAGTATGGTGTAGGGCAGAGTTGCTTATTTAAAGGAACCTTGACATGGTTCAAGACTGGTCTGTGGTAAACCTCATCAGGTTCAAAAAAGACACGTGCAAAGTCCCCAGCCTGTGATGGACAAACCTGGTGCACTGAGAAAAACTGGAGACCAGCTGGATGGAAAGCATTTTTTTGGGGGAAAAGATGCAGGCTTGTGGTGGGCAAGTGGAACATAAGCTGCCAGTGTGCTGCTTGGCAAACAGTATCTTGAGCTATGTTAGTAAGAAAGCAGCCAGTAGTCTGTTGTGGTGTGCCCCCCCCCCAGCCATAATCATCAGTGGAGCTTACTCTGAACGTTGGGAATGGTAGGCAACATGTTAGCCAAAGGCTGTCTGGAATGGTGACCCAGTTGCATGCAAATACAACTTTTAAGTAAATCATTTTACTTTATAAATAGTGGGTAGTGCAGGGCCTGTTCAGCACTCCTGTAAGGCAGCGAGATCTTCCCTTGAGCAGGGATACCTCTCAAGGTTACTCCTCGAGGCTGAGAGATTCCATGCTGCAACAGATTCTTGGTAAGTGATTAATAGCATACTAAACTTTGAAAGCTAAGTGATATGAAGGATTGATCATGCATGCAGAGTCCTTTAGGCATGAACCGTTGACCAAATGCGAGATTAGGATTGGATCCAGCCATGCCTAGACTCTTCTCTGAAAAGGAGGTTAGAAAGCACGAAGGTCCTTTCTGAATGTCATGATTCAGCAGGAAGGTCTCCCTGATGGTTTTGTCTAACCCTGTCCTCTACGCAGGAAATAATCAAGTGTACCTTGCCATTGAATCATGTTAAGTCACTGTTGTATTTACCATTGAACTTTGTTAGCACGCTGGTTTATATTAGCGTCTCGAAGTGCATGACTCTATCCGCGACATAGGGAAGTGATCTTTCCCATCTGTTTGGCACTGGTGACACCACATCTGGAGCACTGTCTAGTTTCTGCCTCCCCCATACTAGGCAGGCAGTGACATTACTGGAGGAAGTCCAGTAGAAATGCAGGCAGGAGGACTCAGAATGTAAGGAGCAACTGAGAGAACCAAGTTCAGCCTTGAAGGGAGATCTAATTTCTGTCCTCAGCTGCCTACTGGGAGGGCATAAAACAGACAGAGCCAAACTCTCTTTAAAGATGCACAGTGATGGGGGAGAGGCAACAGATGCAAGGTGGAACATTGAACATCCCATTTAGATATTAAGAAGATGGCTTTTCACCATGAGAGTGGTCAGCCCCTGAACCAGATTTCCCAGAGTGATTGCAAAATTTCCTGTCTTGGGAATATTCCAACTGGCTTGGACAAAGTCCTTTGCAATGGGTCTAAGTTGGCCTTGCTCTGCGTGAGGGATTGGAATAGATTACACTAAATTGTAGCATGATGTTACAGAATATTCTGTGGTGTTTTTATATAACTTTCTTTTGTATTACTCTTCGCCTTCATAACCTGGTAATTGAAAATGAAATTAGGAAAATTAGTTTAATATTGATAATTACTTTCTGTCCATCATTGTTCATCAGTGACACAATTTCCAACCTCAGGGTAAGTGGGAGTCATGTGCATTTGAGTGAAAGGGGCCATGCATATTGGTATCATATATATATGTATAAAAATATATATAAATCTTTTTCCTTGTCTGGCAGTTTAAGAATAGGCAAGTATCAGATACTTTTTATCTGGGGAAAAAATTGTGGGTTTGAATTAGCTCCTTTCTGTTAGTTGAGAAGTAGAGCAAGAGGAGATGCCACCAGCTGTGACCATCAGATCTGAAAAAAATAGGCACTAACATTTCCTTTTGACTGACGTTTTGAAATGAGATTACAACAACGCTGTTGGAGCTTTTAAATTTCTAGGTGTTTGTAATAATCTTAAAGTAGCTACTGAAGTAGTAATTATTAAAAGTGTAGTTATTGAGAACCCAGTGTCATTTTGACAGAAAACCCAGCATAAGGTCATAGAATCACAGAGTGGTTTGGATTGGAAAGGACCTTGAGGTCATCCAGTTCCACCTCACAGCTATGGACAGTGACGCCTCACACTGTCGCCCAAGGCTCTGATGGATCTTGCCAGTTTAAAAGTATCCACTCAGAGGCATTAAAAGTCAACATCATTCTGTGTTTTGTTTGGCTTTTTGTGATTGCATTCGATGAACTTTAAGTGCTTCGGCTTTGTTTATATTCTGAACAAAGATCTCTAAGAGCACCTGTTTTAAACAATAGATAGGATACTGTCTGGAAAACATCCTCCTCTGACATCCTCCCTGGTCAGAGTAGTTTATAACAGAAACAATGTTTTCATAGATTTCTTTTGTGCCATTTACATTGACTATTGAAGGACAGCGTAGCAATCGGAATCTTTAAAGCAGGATGCTCTGAGATATCTAGTTAGGAAATGGTGGTATCTCTGTAAAATTTAAATTTGTTACTTTTGGGTCCCAGAAATGGGTGTGTTGTCATGTGTTGATGTTTGCTGTGTGATGTTATCTATGTTTAATATCTTCTTCCCCGCAAAACCCAGTCTGCTGATTCTTTTGCTTCCAGTTTGTTTTCAGAATGCAAATTTATTTTCTAACTTCTAACTTGCCGAAGGAGGGTGGGGACCTACAAGTATCCAGTATCTGAAGGGGGCTACAAGGATGCTGGAGGGGACTCTTCATCAGGGACTGTAGCGATAGGACAAGGGGTGATGGGTTCAAACTGAAACAGGGGAAGTTCAGGTTAGATATAAGGAAGAAGTTCTTTACTGTGAGGGTGGTGAGGCACTGGCACAGGGTGCTCAGAGAAGCTGTGGCTGCCCCATCCCTGGCAGTGTTCGAGACCAGGTTGAACAGAACCTTGGGTGACATCGTCTAGCGGAAGGTGTCCCTGCCTGTGGCAGGGAGCTGGAACTGAATGATCGTAAGTTCCTTTCCAACCCAAACCAGTCTGTAATTCTATGATTCAAAATAGATGGGTGAGTTGATTCTCTTCAGAAAGCTTAAATCTACTTTTTTAGGCCCTTCAGACTGTTTGCTGTACCTGCCCATGCTGACAGATGCCACCCCTGAGCAGTTGGCTATGGGAGCTGAAGTTAGGTCACAAAGCTGAACAGTTTCTTTGAAACCAATACTCAATTTATTGAGGTGCTGGGCTGCATCTGTACCATTGCTCTGCTTGATGGTACAGACCACAGATGGAACAGGTGCAGACTGCAACTAGCTCAGTAATGTCTGTTGAGCAATTCCCTCTTCTTCAAACTAACTTGGTTTTCAGCTGTGGAATTAAGAGCTTGATTCAAAGAAAACAACAGGAGTCTTCCACTCAGTTTTGTTGCTAGATGAGGTTAGACTGTTCATTTGAGGATTGTGTGGACTGAGATTTCAGTTTGCTCTTTTTTAATTCAACAAAAAATGGGATGTTTTGGGGGGATAATGGTTCTGTTGAGTCTTAATAAAAACAGGACAGAAACATAATTTTTTCATTGAAATTGCAGGAAAACCTGTTCCACAACTAAACCACTGCCTCTTCCATGTCTCCTCAACATACCTCAGGTACACCAATACTTAATCACAAGTGATTCTGTCCACAAGATCCATCCGATAGAAATAATTCTAGTTGCATTAATGATTTTTAAACAAGCAAACTTAACGGGAATAATCCTGAAGCTTCAGACATGCCCAGAAAAAATTGTACTGTTATTGAGAGCAGATGGTGAACTTAATGTTGCTGAGCAAATTGCATTGAGATTATTGGTAATGCTTAAAAGGTTTGGAACTTGAATAAGACAAATGAGAGTTTTATACAAGTAAGAAGTCAGTATTTAATCCATTACATGGATTTGATGTCTTAACATATAGTAAGTACTTACAGTTGTTAAACCTTGCCAACTTAGGATAATAGGAACTTTGAAGAAAGTTTTTACACGCTATTTTTAATGGTCAAAACACTAAATGCCAATTTGGGACGTAATTAATACAGTCTTATGGGATGTAAATAGAAGCTTTAAATGCCCAATGAAAATATGCCATGCCAAACAAACATGATTTTGTCATTTTTAAATACTAAGAAAAAGTATATTATAACCATATGGTAAGAAAGAGATATGGAAATCTGTTTGCTCTCCCCAGCCCTTAGTATCACATCGTGTGATACTGAAATAGCAATATGTTTACTTGATTCAGAACATCCTAAATGGATTTACAGTTAATCATTTAGGTCAGATAAATAGAGGCAACTTGTATGCAGATGTCTGTAGGTGCATTTTAGTGTCGCTATTTTCTTGCTAATAAATCGTATATGAATGGTTAAATTTGCAAGGGACATAAAGGTCAGAAAATACTATAGTGTTTCTATAGAATATTCTCATTGTGGTAGTTCATCAGATGGGCCTGTTAAAAAGTACTTGAATAAAGAGGTGCTCATACAGCAAAGAACGTAGATGATGTGTAAAGGATAGAAACTGTGCCCTGTAATCCACATGCACTAGCATGGTCTTCAGGTGATGACTGAAGGTGATGACACCCCCAACCAAAATGCTGTGTTCTAGGGAAGGAACATAGTTTTTGGAATTAATGAGCTATTGAATATGAATGTGAACGTATGTTATCTCTATGTTGTTATGGCCTTATCATTACCAATATCAGCAAGCTTAAGCTTAAGCAAAAGTCAGTGTTCAATCTCGAAGGTCCTTAAGAAGTAGAACTGTATCTCTAAGGCAATTGAGAATCTACTGCATCTATATGTTTTAGGGGTTTTTCAATCAAGACTGGATAAACCCCAAGGTGTATTACATGATCTGGGCAAAAAAACCCACCCCAGAAACAAAATAACAGGTATTTTGGTTTATGTTATAAAGTGGGTAACACATAAATGGTCTCTTTGCTTGTTTCTGGCTGCAGACTGAAATGTGGCTAAACAAAAAGCTTGCTCGTTTAAGATTTTAGCCAAGCACCTTCAATTGTCTGCAGTTGTCTGAGGCAGTAGATGGGTGCACAGACCTAAGGACTGGGTTTGGTTAACTTTGCTTTTAGGTTTTGGAAAATATTTGCCATCATAAGATATGCTGGAGAATATTGCTCCTTTTAATCCTCATTCTTGTCCCCTCATTCAGCAGCCCATGTTTTTCCTATTTGAAACTTCTTTTTCAGTTTTCCAAAAAGGAAAAACTGAGCGAAGGTCACATTGTTTTAGTAAATTAGTTCCAGAAAGTGTTTCTTGAAAAGAAATTGTTTTTAAAGTAAACAATATCCATCCCTCTGTTTTATTTTCATGGATATTTTAAGATGAAGATTACTAATACTTGTCAGTCTCATGGATGTTTTTTCTTCAGCTAAAAAAACTTTTGACCCTCGCTTTCTATTTCAAATCCTTTGTTACATTTAATTTCAAGGTAAAACCATGGAACTTGT